TTCTGGCATCCTGAAGTCGGGAGGTGGGTGGGAAAGGAAAAGTGTCTCTTGGTATTTTATTCCGGAACCGTGTTTTGGTGACACGAGCGGGGCTCCTCCGAAAGGCGTCCTCCGCCCACCCTCGCCCCGAAGCCGCAGGTAGAGGCGTCTGGTCTCCGTGTTGAGCGGGTGGATAATGTCTCAAGACTCGGGGGCGTGGGGTGGGGTGGGGGCCGGGAGTGCCGGGGCTGGGAACGCGTCTGTGTGTGTCTGCCAAGGAGGCAGTGTCTGTTGTGTATCTTGAGATGAGAAGGCGACTTAGGTTCGTAGTAGGGAGAACTGTTGGGAATTATTTGTGGGGGGCGGGAGGGGGCGCGCGGAGAGGCGCCGCTTGTGTTTCTCTGCTACTCCACCCTGTTCTGCCTTGCATTTGCCTGGAAGCTGGCGTGCGAGAGTGAAGAAGCGTTGGGTGAGTGAAGGGGAAAATGCAGTTGGCCATGAAGATCTTACACTAGGTAAAGTTAAATGGTGTGAAGTGTTTGCTGTTTTTATTTACGCTTAAAAAAAAAAAGCCAAAACCCTCTTGTATTACGTAGGGTAGAGTGATGTGACTAGTTCATGTCTCTGAGATCCTGCAGGTATAGAAACCTCTGCCTTTCGTCTCCCTTCTTTCCACCCTCCCTGCCTTCTTCCTTCCTTCCTTCCTTCCTTTCTTTCTTGGCATAGTACTGCATTTCTCGTCCTGATGGACTCAAGACTCCCTGTGACTTTTGATTTAGTTTGTGTTAACATGGTTGTGCTTTTTGTGGTTTTACCATAAAACGCATCAATAAATGCATTTGTTGTTATTTTGCATGTATGCCGCAGGTAATTATTGCATCAGGATTGCAGTGCTTTGCATTAAACTTATTTCAAAATGTACAACAAAGTTGTCAGATCTAGCTGGATTTTGTTTATGAGTAAAGATTGGAAAATTTGAATTACGGTTTTCTTTTTTTCAATTTTCAATTAGAGTTAAAAGAGGAAGAGGATTGCAACATCTCTTGTTTCTCACAGTCTTTAATATTTAATAACATGGTAGGAGGATTTAATATCATGTATTTTGTGCTTCCTTCAATCTGAAATATAAGGTCTTCAATAACCCTTCAAGACAGATTTTGGTGTAATGAACTTTTAAATAACTAAAGGAATTGGCATAATTTCTATTTAGACTGTTGTTGAGAATTTAATGTATTTGGCGTCAGACTTATCAGTTCATGAATCTGCCATCTATTAGTTGGGACCTTTAGATTCCATAAAACTGAAAGCCACATAGATACAGTATATAATTTTATGGTATCTTTTATAACCTTTGATTTGGAATTTCTGCTGTTGGTCATTCACATAGATAAGGGAACTGTAAGTGCAGGTAGCATATATATTTCAATTGACCTGAATAGAAACAAACAATCAAAAAAAGATGTGTCTTTTAAATCTCAGATTTAGACTATATTGGTCCAAAGTTGAACCTTTAGTTAATCGTAGTTCAGGATTTTCAGAATTATTTGTTTTAAGCTTGTATCTTAACCTGAAATATTACTTTGCAAAAACTGGAGAAAAATCCTATGTAACTACATAATAGAGAGTTTGCTTTGTCTTTCTGAAACACATTCTTATAGTCATAGAGTTTTAAAGTGCTTCATAGTTATTTTAGAAATACAAAACTGAAATGTTTGTTAAGAGTTGGAAAAATATGAGTGATTTCTCTTCTATCCATCCTTACATCAAATTTTCTTTTTGTTTTCGTCTATGGAAGTGTATAGTAATATACTGAGAAAAGCATTCGTTACATTTCTTCTGACTAGTAGTGGGGTCCAAATCATTACATGTAAGCCAAATATATCCTTGCATTCATTGGGGGTGATTCTGTTGCATTTTAAGCACTGGATATTAAAATGATGTAAAGCCTTCATTGCAGGTTAAAGCATAAAACATTCTCAGCATGTGGAAGTTATATGGTTTACAAAAAAAAGTAGAAAACCAGGGCATTGGTGCCTGTCCAGCTTAAAATTTTATCTCGTAACTGTGAAAGACATCTTTATTTTAATGTAGTCATTTCTAAAATTGTTTCCTGTATTATGGGAAGTTGAAAAATCTAAACTATTTTAACCAATCTGTTGCTAGTTTAGTGTACTACATGTAGTGAACACTATTTGCGATCACAGACGTGCATCAAGGAAAGGAGACTTTTAACTTTATGTTTAATGTTTTTAGTAAGGCTTCGTTTTCACTGCTATACTAACAGATTTCGGTCTTCTAGCCCAAGTCGTTAGTTAAAACATCAGTGGCAGAAGCTTAATAATTCCATGTTGGTAAATTATAAAATAATGACAACAAATCTTTCATTGTTTCATCACTAAAAGCATATTAAGTAACCAGGTTATGACAAATTCTGTGGCATGTGTTGAGTGGAATTACATTGCTTGTTTGAATAGATGTTGAATACACTGGGAACATTTCAGCTTAATTTGTTCATAAAAGTCTCCCTACCTTACATTCAGTCCACCTCCTCTTCTAGTGTTTCAGACAGCTACCATGTTTCCTGTAAAACTGTGTTTGCTTTTTTGGTTTATCTGATAGTAGCTCTTGCTTCTCTTATTTTTGTATGTAGCTCTTTAAACTTGAATTATTTCTTTTGGAAATTGGAAATTATTGTAGAATGTTATTTGTCATAAGTGAAAGTTGGTGTTAGAGATAAACTTAACAGTGCTTATTGCAAATGTGTTCATTTTGTTTGTGAATCTGCTTTACTTAGTTTTTGGCTATCAGAGTTAATTTGTTAGCTTACTTTCCTATTCTTTGGCTAGATTTTTCTGTTAACGATAGGCTTTAACTTCTCATTTTAGTAGAACTTTAATTTATAAAAAAATTATTATGAGTGGAAAGCACAGCTTGTCTAGCGTATTGTATATGTACTTCCCCATACACATTCATACATGAAGTACCTTTTTGTTTGTTTATATACAAAATCGGTACTTGTCTGTGAGACTTGCAGCCCATAAAAAAGGAATCTGAACCACAAATAGCAGGAGACTCTGCACTTTTACTCAAGCTAGGAACCAAAGCGTAAACCACCACTTCATGCTGTTTACATTATAGAAGCTATGGAGATTTTCATCATTCTAAACCATTATTTTTAACAAATTTTGCTAAAAGTTCTCTCAAAATGGAGACTATCAGTATTGTAGTTTTTCTCAAAATATTACTAAGTAATATGTGAATTGGATTCTTAGATACAGTTTTCCCTAGATTGCCCTTCCTGGAACTTACGGCCCATCATAGGCACAGAGTAAAGGTTTTTCCGTGTGATTATTTGATGTAAAACGTAGAGTCTATTTAAACGTAACCTAGTGCTTTAGATAACTTGTTTTTCCTGACCTTAGATGAAACAAGTTGGAAATTTACTATAACATTGTCTTGGACACTTGCCAAGAGCATTTAGTTCCTGGAAGGGCCCTGGCTTTAGCATAGTTTTACCCTCACAGTGGTAATAAGGTTGAAGTTACAGTAAGTTTTTCCAATGGTTATTGTAATCTTAGTGTAGTATTTCACAGATCCTTAGACTATAAAGATAGTAATTTTTTTAAGATTTACAAACAAAAGGAGAAAAGATTAGAATAGCCAGGTTTTAGCTTTGAAGTGATCAATTATATTAATGTTTTTCACTCTTAAAATAGGTAGCAGCAGACTTCATCCTGTTAAGTGATAAAATAATTCTAATCCATTAAAAGGGCATTTAGGCTTTTCTTAAGTTTATAGGCCTGGTTGTGATAAAAATGCTTACTAA